TGCTGTCGGCACTTGGCGCGGCGGTTCTTGAACCAGACCTGCGGCAGGCCGAGGTAGTAGAGCAGGTCAGCGTACAGTGAAGTTACTGCTCCTCCGCCCCTCGGACCCACCACCCAGCCCAGGCTCACGCGTCCCTCTCCAACCAAGCCTCCGCCCCTCCCCGTCTCAGGCCTGCCAGACGCTGCCCCTCCCCCACAGCCCTTTCCCAGCTCCCGCACCCTCCCCCATCCGTCTGCCCAAAGCCCCTCCTCATCTGGCTCCGGAGTGGGGAAGCGCACCTCCCCACCCCTAGCGCAACTCTGCCGGAGGGCGGAAGGTTTGCATCTGTCCAGCCAGTTCAGCCATCTCTAAGCAGGTCCTGTTGGCTGTCTCCCTATAGACCTGGGTCTGTTTGGAGGGCCTGTTTTGTCTGAACATAGCTCAGGAAACTGCGAAGAAGCATAGAGCAGCAGAATGGGGGGCAGCCACCAAGTGTGGGTCTGGGGCCCAGGCAGTTCCACTTAGTGGGCTCCTGGAGACACACACTGGGCAGGTGAAAACGTTTGGGTAGGAGCAGGACTAATGCTGGAGGCTGAACAGAAGCAGCGCTCAAATGCTCCGGGCTTCTCAGGAAGCCTGGGTGAGATTTCGTTGGGCTTTTTTGGCTCTAGGCAGGAAACCAAATGGAATGGTCAGTCATAAAGTTCCCACTCCTCTTGGAAGGCTCGGCACATGGCATTGGATTACTGGCCTTTTCTCGAGCCTTCAGGGAAACAAGGCGAGACAAAAGACCCTTGAGAATTCTGAGTTAGAATCCAGTGCTTTCGAAGCTCGAGACACAAAAAGTGCCTAATCAAACTGACTCTTCCCTAGAGCATCGGGCTCTGGCCAAATTCCACTCTTGTCCTTCCAGGATCCCCGGGACATAAGGTAGAAACGGAGGCAGAATTCAGGTTTCCAAGAGACAACCTGCCAAACCTTTTTATAGCCGAAAAAGCAGAGACAAGGGTTGGATCCTGGGGGCAATTTACGTTTGACAGCCTACCTCTCCTCCCAAAATCCTAAAAATGATTTTAATACCAAAGGCCGCTGGGGAACAAGGGCTGGAATGCAGGGCTCTAAGTCATTTCTTTTAACTTTGCCCAGTTTTCGTGACGCCCAGCACTAGGGGGAGTCCGAGAGGGGCTGCCCAGTCTGTAAGCCCACCCTCACAGGAGACCACCCTTCCCAGACCTTCCCTGACCGACTCTGGCGCCCCTAGAGCGCGTACCTGAACTCTGGACTCCGGAAGGTTGATTTTCAGGGCCACCTCCTCGCGCATGAAGATGTCAGGGTAGCGAGTCTTGGCGAAGAGCGCCTCAAGCACGTCCAGTTGTGAGCGCGTGAAGGTGGTGCGCTCCCGCCGCTGCTTCCGCGGGGTGGCTGCACGGACATGCGGGGTGGGGGGGCGCTTCGGGTCAGTGGTGGTTAATCCAACTGGTACTAGAGGCCTCGGACAGGTCCCCTAGCAATCCCACAACCCGGCTGCGCCAAGAAAAAGCCAAGCTCTGAGCAAAAGAATTTCCCTGGGAGCCGAGGATGATAGGCCACAGGTGGGAGAAAGTGCCTGTACTCAACTAGGGGGCCCGAGTCTCCAAGACACTAAAGCTACCCTCCTCCCAGCCTCTCAAAGGTTAAAAAGGAAAAGAAGCCACACAATTTCCCTTTTCCCACATCTCCCTACACCCACACCCACTCCCTGGCTAGGAGGTAAAGAACTAGGAGGAGGCCCATGGAAACACCACCAGGAAAACACTTTCTCAGGAAATAAATGGGAGCAAAAGAGGGAGATAGAAAAATCCAGAGCTCAGCTAAAGTTGTCCACTACACCAATGCAAAAGTTGGTTTAGGCTACTGGTCTAGAGGACTATGGAATCAGGGAGGAAGAATTCTCCTTCAGTATAGCCAGCTGCTTGGAATAAGGGAAGCCTGGCTCTCTTAAATCTGGGCTTAGTGAGTGTCCAGATTCTTCATTCAATGTTGGAGTGGAGAGATCAGATTCACAAAAAACAATGGTCACCCATGGGAAATTAATTCATGGGCAAGTGGCTCTGTGAAGGAGATAGGACAGGAGACAAGTTGCTGGGTGGACAGACTCAGAACGCACACACTGAAGTTTTCAAAGCCCCAATTGCCTCACAGACCTACAACTGTGCTGTGTGCCTGTAGCATGCCCACACTGTATAAGGAGGCGAGGCTGAACCTGGGACTGTTTGATGATCAAGTGGGTTCAAACTTGAGAGGCCGGGGATTCCCAGTGTTTGCAAGGTCTGGGGCAGGGTTGGAAGTGCCAGTGCTCACCAGGATAGCCCACAGAGGGGTGCAGGAGGTCCATGGCAGGGCCAGCCAGGCCCAGACCATTCATGCCATATGGAGGTTGTTTGAGGTAAGACATCATGCTAACAGCCGGGTGGAGGCGCCCCGACGGATCCAGGGGGCCTGAGGCCAGGAGCAGTACAGGGCTCCCACCACAGAGTCCTTCAAGCTGTTGTTTCTGGGGGGCCTGGCCTATAGAGACAGGAGATTCCAACAGAAAACATCACTCAGTACCACTTCAGCTTCTATGTTTTGTCCCAGGCAAGGAGCCCCTGGATAGGGAAAGGGTGCAGGGTACACACAGGGCAGTCACAAGGTCTTAGCTAAGTGACCACAGCTTATCTTAAAAGTAAACTTTTTGGATAGTCACCACCTCTTTGAGGGGTTGGCATGGGCCAAAGACATTTGTCAGGAGTGAGGAGAGTTGTTAAAAGCGTGGCCAGGCTGTGAATGTCAGAGCCAGAAGCACAGTGTGTAAAAGCCTAAATGTAGGCAAAAATTTAAGTCTAGCGGCTTCATATTGTGCAAGTAAGTGTTCACTTGAGGGCCCAGATCTCAGCCTGCCAGAGAGCTAGCGTAAGGGTTGTTTAGTTTTGTTGCAAATCTTTTTGAAAAGGTAGACACTACAGAGGGCCAAAATGAGGTAATGAGGAGGGGTGACTTGCAACATGGCCTCTTGGGAAGCATTGTCCATTTGGCAGACATGGTTTCTTCAAAGGTCTCCATGTCTTGCCCCTGCCCCAGAGTCCCCATCACTTCCTCAGCTGACCTTTCTGTGTCCAGCCACTGAGACATTGCTTCTCTGGGATCCCACCACAATTCACTGCAGTTATGGCCCAGACCCCTCAGAGGTGGCCAAAGAAAACCAAGGGGCCATAGTGGAAGTGGCAGTTCCAGGACACCGCCCAAGGTCTGAAGTGCCTCAGTCTCGGCCACCGCCCTTTTCTGCCAGCTCAAGCCAGGCCTTCTTTCTACTTAATCAGGTTTGTGCACTACCCTACCGGATCCCATCAGGGAATAAAGAATGACCAGTCCATCGTCTTGGCGATTTGGGAAGCCTTAGTACAGCGGGTCGTATGTGCTTCCTGCTATCTCATTAGCTGAACCCGCGGCCCCAGGACCCAATCGAGAATGGAAAACTAGGCCTCAGCGGCAAAGCCCACGCGGACCAGAGCTGGAAGGTCAAAACTTCGTTTCCGCAGCTCCTCAGAACCCAGAGCACTAGTTTCAGAGGTCAAGGAGAGCTGGGTAGAGATAGTGAGACTGGAGACCCCCAAGGGCCTTGCCGCTACACTTTGCTTTTCGAGAATTCTGTAAAGCAGGCCAGGAACACAGACCAGGGAATTCAGGGAGGGAAGTCAGAGCTAAAGCAACTCCCCATCCCAACCCCCAAACCCACTCCCGTCCTCTAGGACTCCTGGCCGGGGTCAGCGTATCCCAGCTCCCAAGGAAAGGAATGAAAAGGAGAAGTCAGGACTTGCTCTTAGGCCGAAGGAAAATGGGACTGAAGCTTCGGCGGTTGTGCCATGTTGCAACGCGAGTTTTAAAAGACTTTCTCCAAACTTAGCACTTCAGCTCGGTTACTTCGGAGGAGGCGGGGGAGGGGGAGCCAGGCCTCAGCTGCAGTCTGGGGTCCTCAGGGCACCCCAAGGGGAGCCAGGCCTTCCCCCCCGGCCCCGCCCACCTGCCCAGGTCTGTCGAAGCTGGGATCGGTTTAAGAAGCGGGAGGCAAGAGTAACCAACGCGCTCCGGAATCGCAGGCGGCCCCACGGCTTTCTCCTTACCTGCCCTCAGCTGCTGGGGCCGCTCACCATGTACCTCGCGCCCTCACAGAGACCAGCCGGGCAGCCAACCTGGAAAACAGAGCGGCACAGGAATTACCCCGGCGGCTGATCTAGGACCCCCGGGTTTCTTTCTTTTCCCAACTTCCTTCCTCCCATCTCTCTCTCTCTCTCTCTCTACCCCCCCCTCTCTCTCTCTCTCTCTCTCTCTCTCTCTCTCTCTCTCTCTCTCTCTCCCTCCCTTTACCAGTAGCTTTGTGCATGTCCCTTCAGGTTTCACTTTATTGCATAGACACTTTGTTTGCAAAGCCCCACACGCTCCCAGGACACTGCCTCTCGCGGACCGCGCCGAGGGACCGCCAAGGGGGAGGGGGATTCGAGGGGGCAGAGTTGGGAGGTGGCTCGAGGTTGCCTCTGCACTCCCGGTGCTACGTGGAGGCGGTGGGGACTGGGAAGTCCTGCAGAGTCACTTTGCAAACTAAATAAATCAAGCGATTTACCTTGTCGGAGTGGCTTGTCTTGCTCGGTTGTTTAGGTGATTGGAAATGTAGCCTGATGAAGATTGATCACCTTTCTACTGCCCTCCCCGGGTATGTGAACGCGAGGCGAGTGCGTAACCGGGCTAGGCCGCCAATCCCGGGCCCCAAACGAGCTGAGTGACAGCGAGCTGGGCAATGG